TCAGAGAATAACTACCATATTTACTATTTCTAAAGAAATAACAAAAGTGCTTACTTGTGATATTAATTTACTTACTTCATCATCATCATCATCATAAGGTAATCAGTCCTAAGACTGGTTGGACACGTACCTCCACTCTTTCCTATCCTGAGCTAAACTTCGCATTTCCCTTAAACTAGAACAGCCCACATCCTTAACTATTTGCGAAGAGATCTAATCTAGGTCTACCTCTACCACTCCTAACTCCTGTTTCTGCCTCTAATATGTCTCTGACTAGACCTTCATGCCTGACCTACCAACCTATCTCGCCTATTTTTTATTGACTTCCATAGAGTCCTCTGTTCTCCTATTCTTTCCAATACCTCTTCATTTCTAACCTTTTCTACCCACGATATCCTCATCATCCGCCTATAACACCACATTTCGAACGCTTCTAACCTTTTCTTTTCCGCCGCTCCCACTGTCCATGTTTCGCACCCGTACAACGCCGTGCTCCAAACATACACCTTTAACAACCTTTTTCGAATTTCTAAATTAACCGTTCGCGAGCATAGAAGTGACTTCTTTTTATTAAAGGCGACACGACCCTGCGCTATCCTCTGCTTTATATCCCTACTACTCCTTCCATCCTCACTTATCTGACTTCCTAGGTATCTAAAATCAGCCACTTCTTCTAATTTTTCGTCTCCTATCTTTATATTCGCTCTTTCCCTACTTTTTCTTCCCTTGCATATCAGTATTTTAGTTTTACTTTTATTTATTTTCATACAATACTGATCTGTCAGTACCGCTTCCATTTTATTTAAAGCTATCTCTAGGTCCTCCTTGCTAGATGCTAATACTGCTATATCATCTGCAAATCTAAGCATACTAATCTTTTGCCCTTGCACGTATATCCCTACAGTTGTACTGTCTTTAATTTATTTACTTACTTTTTGTATTTGTTAATAAAGTCAATTAATCATCATAAGGTCGTCAGTCCTAAAACTGGTTGGACACGCACCTCCACTCCTTCCTATCCTGAGCCAATCTTCGCATTTCCCTAAAACTAGAACATCCTATATCCTTAACTATTTACGAACATTAATCTAATTTAGGTCTACCTCTATTCCTTTTAACTCCTGTTTCTACTCTTATATGTCTCTGACTAGACCTTCACGCTTGAGAATGTGTCCTACCAACCTATCTCGCCTATTTCTTATTAACTTCCCTAGAGTCCTATGTTCTCCTATTCTTTGTAATATCTCTTCATAGAATCAATTGCCATAAATAAAAAAACTAGATATGAGTTGGTTTGAATCCTGTACCTGGTAGACTCGGCACTATTTTAAGATCTGGTATCGCATAATGACGCCGGGTAGTAATAATAAGCTTTATTGGGACAGAGACATAATTACAGACAAAACAGTTAATCATACCAGACCTGGCATCACACTGGCCATCAAAGAAACTAAAACGACCTACCTAATAGATGTTGCTGTACCAAACACTGAAAATCTTAACAACATATTGAGAAAATTCAGAAATATATTCCTTCGACTGATGAAATAAAAAAAATGTCGAATCAGAACACAGTTCGAATTATACCAAGAATAATATCATTAATAGGCCTTACACCTAAAATATTACACGTTAGCCTAGCCGAGTTGAAACTGCATGCATAAACATACGTATGTATACGTATATAAGTCTACGAAAATCATCTATCCTTGATACATGCAGAATAGTACCCAGATTTCTTAACAATTCTGACATATCCCACTTTTCAGACAACACAACGCATTAAATTATGAGCAAAGTTTTTAATAATCACCGATCATATTTCAGGGCAAAAAGTACTGTTAGCTCTACAAAATCTAAGAACAGAAAATTGCTTTTCAAATCCCAAAACATGTGAGTGATGTTCTTTGGCATTAGCCCGTCTTCAGTCGCTCAAAGTTAACCAGTGAAAACTGAAAAGACCGGGAAATAATACTACTACACTAAGTTATTTATTACTTTTAGTGCATCCGTTGCATCTCTAAAAAAACTATAATATATCTATTAAACTACCGGAAAATTTATAATTATTTTCACTAAATATTTAATATGGTTATATAGAAACTGCTTGCTAACGAGCTTCTGGGGAGGTCCGTTTTTAAAGGCATGACTCTTT